ACTTGGAGCAACGTCAAGTTTGTCGAAAGCTCGTCGAAAGACTATCGGGAGTTCGCCAGAAGTTCACCGAAAGTTCGATTGAACCAATGACATGCAGAACAACTTAAATTATAAGTAGAGTAATTGTTTTAGCTTTAACTATCGTAGTTAAGACTTTAATTTGAGTTAGTATTGGGAGAAATCATATTAACTTAATTAGGGGCCAATTGGGCCTTTAACAGAGCTGAATTGGGCTGGTTGGATGGCCCATTCAGCCACTTGGAGCAACGTCAAGCGGTGGTACCGCCCGAGGCTCGACCTCGTAGGTGGTTTGGGCGATGGTACCGTCGGTAGTTATTGCTGTCAAGCGGTGGTACCGCCTTGTCAAGCAATAGTACCGTCAGAGCTCGGTCTCCGAGGCTCTGTCAGGCGGTAGTACCGCCCAGACTGAGCGATGGTATCGCCAATACCCTAGAAACCCAGGATGAAACACCTTTTGGCTCCATTTTTGAAGCCATTAGGGCCTATAAATATCCTATTCTTTCAAGAGCAACAAAATTGTGAACAAAAGTCTTGTGATATTGGGTTGTGAAAGTGTTCTAAGTGTCCTCCTCCTCTTTCTTTAGTTTTATGATTAATCTAAGAGAGGTATGAGGCTTGTAAGGGTTGTCTCCTAAACCTGTAAAAATAAAAATGTATTGTAAGAGGGTGGTTGGTCTTCACCCATTTAAGGAAGACCGTTAGTAGACGCTAGTGGCCTCAACAGTGAGGAAATCGAGAGTGGATATAGGTCACGACGACCGAACCACTATAAATCTGGTGTGATCTCTTCCTTGTCATTTCTATGCTGCTTTTTCTTTATATTGCCTATTGACTTGGCTGCTTACTTCACTTCACATCTTCTTTATGTAAACACATTTCTGATACACTTTTAAATCGAAATGAAGTTTTTTGACTCGATGTAATTTTTACAAAAATACTAATTCACCCTCCCCCCCCCCCTTAGTGCCAACTTGATCCTAATAGTTGGTATCAGAGCGAGGTTACTCTCTATTTGGTTTAAAACCCAAGAGAGATAGCTTTTGCCGGCAATTAAGAGGGTCTTTCTATCACTCGTTCTCCTATGTTCAATGGGACGAACTACATTTATTAGAAAACTATGATGAGAAATTTTTTGTTTTATATGTGTTTCGAATTGTGGAACATTGTTGAAAGTGGTTTTGAGAAGTCTTCCAAACCAATGGAATAATGAGATGATTTGGAAAAGAAGATATTCTCCTTGAATGCTAAAGTGATGAATGCTTTGTTTTGTTCTCTTGATAAAAATGAATTTAATCAGGTTTCTATATGTGAAGCTACACATGAGATTTGACACATACTCGAAGTCATACACGAAGGCACAAGTAGGATTAAAGAGTAAAAAATTAATCTTTTGGTGTATAATTTTGAGTTGTTTCGAATAAAATCAAGCGAAACCATTGGAGACATATACACCCGTTTTATGAATGTCCTCAATGGTTTGAAAGCACTTGGTAAAGGTTTTTCTAATATTGAACTTGTCAATAAAATATTAAGATTCCTTTCGAAAAGTTGGGATCCAAAAGTGACGACAATACAAGAATCAAATGACCTAAATAACCTTGTTCTTGAAGAACTTATCGGGTTATTAATGACCTATGAAATGATATGCAAGACACATGATGAACATAATGAACATGAGAATAACCTTCCAAAGAACAGGAAGGATATGACACTTAGAACTAAAGAAGACCACTCGAGCGAAAAACTCAAGTGATGATGATGACTTAGCACTTCTAACAAGAAAATTCAAAAGATTCCTAAGAAGAAATAAAACAAATTTTGTAAAATAAGATACTAAGAACAAAAACAAACTAAAAAAGGACACAATTGTTAGGACCG